GAGTCCCTGGGTTCCACCCCCAGACTGGAGGTGTGGAGGAAACAGGTCTCAGTGAAACGGGTCAGCAGGAGCATTCCATGTTCCCTGGACGAATGTGAGGGGATCTTCCTGCCGCAGTGAGCTGCTGCTTCTTCCTCCCCATCCTCCCCCCCTCTTCTTTTGAAAGAGTCTCACTAAGTCACCTAGGCTGGGCTGGAACTTGTCATCTTTCAGCCTCGACCTGCTAGAGTGCTGGGATCACAGGTATGTGCCCCCTCACTCAACTATTCTTCCTTTTTTCTTTCTTTCTTTTTTTGAGACAGGGTCTCATTATGTAGTGCGGGCTGGCCTTGAACTCGCTTATGTAGCCCAGGCAGCGCCTCATAGTAAGCAAACCAGGGAGAGGAAGAGACCTGGGTCCCTCAAGCCCCTCACAGGCCACGCCCCCTGTGACCTAACCTCCTCCCACTAGGCCCCACCTCTTAAAGGTCCCACCACCTCCCAGGAGCACCACCCCAGAACCAAGCCTTCAACACATGGGCCTTGGGGAGCCCTCAAAATGGAAACTACAGCAGTCGGACCGAACCGCTGCCTCTCCTCCCCCAGGTTGGCCTCTCCTTTGCAGTCCCCTCTCTGGGGACGCTGGGGCTGAACCCTTCTCTGTGAGGCCTCATGGGCACTGCAGGGTGCTGAGCCACGTCCCCGGCCTCCACCCATCCATTCTAGGCGAGAGACTCCCTGGTCACAACCGCCGCAGATGTCTCCAGGGTCCTCTGGGGGCCACGTCACCCCCCATGAGACGCTCTGCTCTAAGCTCCCTGTGTGTGGCACCACAGGGTCATCTTGCCCAGAGCCTTTCCCACGAGATCTGCTTTTTCTTACTCAGCCAAAACCACGGCATGGGAGGTCACCTGTCACCATGTCCTTTCTTCCTCCTGTGTGATTGTCACCTGACGGCAGGACACACGGACTTTGACCAAACCTGCCCGTGTAGCCCTGAGTACACCAAGGCGGTGACCAGGCCCCTGGGTGCCAATAAAACTTTATTTTGGACCTGAAATGTGAATTTCATGCCATTTTCATGCATTGTGAAATATTACCCTTTGAACTGTTCCCAACCCTTTAAAAATGTAAAAACTAGCAGGATTTGGGGCCTCAGCCTGTAACTGTGATCACTGTGAGTTCGAGGCCAACCTGGCCTACATAGTGAGTTCAAGGCCAGCTAGAATAGTGAGATCGGGCCCCCCCAAAAGAAAAACAATCCCCAAACCCCAAAGATAAAAGCTATTATGACCTATGGGATCCTCAAAAACAAGCAGGGCTTTTATGAAAACAGAACAATACAACCAGGAACCTGAGTCAGGTGTGGCCAGGTGTGGCCACTCTGCCTCGAGTGTTAAAGTGAGCCCCTCTCCATCCCCCGTCCACTGTGGGCCCCATGTGTCATGCTGTCACTGAGAGGGTCATGCGCCCCCTGGGGACATGCATTCCCCCGGCTGGAGACAAACCTCACGGGCCATTTCCTCGGGCGGGCTTGTTCAGTCACTATGTGCACATGTGTTGCATGTGGTACTGAGGATCAAACCCACGCGCGCACCACTACTGAGCCACACCTCAGTCCTTTTTTATTCATTTACTTTATAAAAATTTGGTACTGGGACTCCCTAAGTTGCCCAAGCTGGCCTTGAACTCAGCGATCCTCCTGCCTCAGCCTTCTGAGTGCTTGGATAACAGGCATATGCCACTGTGCCCAGCCACAGTTTACCTTTGGAGTAACCGCCAGTCTGTTCCCCAGCAGCCAGCCTGGGCTGTGACACAGAGAGAAAAAGAAGAAACAATAAAAGCAAAACCCAAAAAAGCCTCTGATGCTACTGCCATTAGCCTTCCATCCCAGAGCCCCAGAGCAAGGCACTCTCCAGGCAGCCACAGAGCAGGCGGGGACAGATGCTGTGGGCGTCTTAACGACAAGACTCAGGAGTGATGAATGTGCCCTAGATCTGTGCCACCCACCAGTCTAAATGAATTGAAATGAAATGAAATTTGAAATTCTGGGCCAGGCATGGTGGCGCATGCCTGTAATCCCAGGACTGGGGAGGCTGAGGCAGGAGGAGAGCCATGAGTTCAAGGCCAGCCTGGGCTACATAGTGAGACCCTCTTTAAAAAGAAAAAAGAGATTCTGTCCCTCAGCCACATTGAGCAGGCCCAGGAGCCACATGTGGCTGGTGATCCCCTGCAGGATGCCTTAGTTCCCAAGTGTGGGGTGAGAGGCAGCCGGGTGTGGGGAAGGCCCCCAGACAGGGCACAGCAGCAGCGTGCGCCGGGGACAGCTCGAGGGCAGTGCAGGTGCAGCTGGGCCAAGGAAACTGTGCTTTGCATGCAGGCGGTGCTGAGAAGCAAAGACGGAATGCTGCAGGCAGGCTCTGCAGGAAAGGCAGAAAAATACTGACGGGAGCTGGGTGCAGTGGCATATGCCTATAGGTCAGCTACTCAACAGGCTGAGTCAGGAGGGTCGCAAGTTCGAGGCAAGCTTGGGGCGCTTTGTAAGATCTTGTCTCAAAAGCAAATAGGATTTGCCTAAGATGAGCTTGCACCACTGAGGCTATGGTGTGTCCTGAGCGCATTTCTGACAGCCAGGAGACTCAGCAGCTCAGATATATTCAATGTTTTCTTTTTTTTTTTTTTTTTGACCTTGAGCTTGCCAGGCAGTCATTTGTGCCACTGAGCTATATCCCCAGCTTCAGTGTTTCTTCAACTTACAAGATTTGGAGTTTAGGCCAGGTGTGGGGGCGCACATCTGTAACCCCAGCACTCAGGAGACTGAGGCAGGAAGATCACTGTGAGTTTGAGGCCAGCCTGGGCTTTGTAGTTCAAGGCCAATCAGAACTGCATATCGAAATGCTGTCTCAAACACCCCACCCCGCAAAAAAGATTTTCAGCTTAGGATGGGTTTATCTAGACATTGACCCCATAGTGCAGTGGGCAGCAGTGGTACTGTTAAAGCTCAACTGTCTTGGAAGAATCTTTTTTTTTTCTTTGAGATAAGATCTCACTGTGTAGCCCAGGGTGGCCTAGAACTCGCAGTGATCCTGCTGCCTCAACCTCCTGAGTGCTGGGATGACAGGCGTGTGCCACCACGCCCAGCTAATGTGGAAGAATCTTGCAAGATATCAGACTTGCTGGAGTAGATTATCAGAGAAGCAGCTGAGTGGATTTATGTCTGGACTTGGCCCTGCGCCATGCCTCAGGGCCCGATGATAAACCAGACCCGATGATACCTGCCCCACACACACACACCTGGATGGTGTTAACTCATAAAAGCCTTTCAAACCGTCTGGTCCCCAGGGAAGATCGCAGCGAGTGTCCGCCGGCTTGGGAACTGTCTCTTGTGTTAAGGGGCCGTGCAGACGGAGTCCCCAGGTCACTGGAATTGCACACTCAGCTCGCTGGGACTTTTGTGTCTATTTGTGGTTCCAGCACGAAGCCTCCCTCGGCCTTTCCCCGCAAGGCCTCCGGGACCACCTACAGCACTCCCAGGGAGGACCCTGCTGCTCAGCCATCAGGGCCCAGAGCCCCGACCTCCCAGGTAACCACCACGGGGACATGTCACAGGTGCTGCCTGGGCAAGCGTGGGGGGTCTTCCCTCTGTGCCCCTCCTCATGCTCCTCTGCACCTTTCCCTCACACCATGTGTCCCTGGGGTCACCGGTCATCTCGGCTGGCACCTCAGGAGGCGGAGGCAGGAGGATGGCAAGTTCAAGGCCAACCTGAGCAACTTAGCAGGACCGCCTCAAAATTTAAGAAGAGGCTGTGAGCGCCTGCCTCATATGCCTCAGGCCCTGGCTTCCACCCCAGCGCTGTACAAAGAGAAACTAATGGGGAGGCCCCTGCTCTAGGGAGCCGCCACATTAGTACCTCTACAGGGCAACCCGCGGGGCTGGGACAGTGAGGTCGGGCAGGGCTTCTTCCCCGTGGTTGCTCGCCTGGCGGCGGTGCCCAGCAACTGGGCCTCCTTTATCTGAGGGGCTCTCCCTGCAGGGCAGCCCCAACTGCCCACGCCCAGAGCTCGGGGCTTCGGATCCGCCCTGTCCCCTGGGAGCTGCCCAGGTCCCATGCACTTTCCCCGTCTGCAGCTCCTGCACTCCCACCTCGGACCCGATTCAGTGTGGAGACCGCTCAGTGATGCAGGCCCAGCACCCGCAGGAACCTGTCTCGCCCTCCTTCACTCCATTTTGTGTTTTTGAGACAGGGTCTCACTGTGTAGCTCAGGCTGGCCTCAAGCTCGTGAGGATCCTCCTGCCTCAGCCTCCCGAGTGCTGGGATGACAGGCGTGCGCCACCAGGCCCAGCTCCCTTTCTCCACTCCTTGCGAAGGCCCTGGGTCTCTCCCTCCAAGCCCACCCACTCTGCCGACAGCCAGGGTCCTCCTGTACGTGCCACCAAGCTGTTGGGAATTCACTTCGGGGGAGCTGCATAGCCACCTGGCTCCTGCCTGTGCCCCCACCAGGGCCTCTCACAGAGCAGGGCACCAGGGCCAGCAGACGGGGGTGACAGAACGAATGCGCCCCGAGCGTGGTGCGAGCGGGTGTCACCCCGCCCCTGAGCTGCCTCCCCTCCATCTCTGTCCTGTGGAAACCCCGCTGCAGGACAGTCGCAGCTACAGATGGTCCCCGGCCAGCAGCTCCCCGGACAGACGGGACTCGCTGTGCCGGCCAGGTGAGTGTCCGCAGGTGTGAGCGTGGGGACCGGGGACATCCTGCCGTGCAGGGGACTTCCCTGAAGTCACAGCTGTAGATCTGGGTGTGGCAGTGCACACCTGTGATTCCAGCTCCCTGGGAGTCTGAGGCAGGAGGAGCACAAATTTCAGACAAGGTGGGGCAATTTAGCAATTAAGGAGACCCGGTTTCAAAACAAAAAATAGGGCTCGGGGTGGAGCTCAGCGTGAAGGCCCCACGGCACCGTCCCGCAGTTGCCTTGGGGGAGCGAATGGCTGTCCTTGTCTCATTTTTCTCTCCCTCTTAGGACCGAGCTCCCCGCGCTATGATACGTCTGTGTCCTCCACAGCCAGGGGTCTTGGCCGGCCACCGAAGCCCACGGCGGGCCCCAAGCACCCCTGGCTCCACTACTGCCACGTGTGCAACATCAGCTGTGCAGGGCCGCAGGTCAGAGCCCTCTGCACCCGCCCTGGGTCCTGTCCCTTGGCCGGGGGTGGGGCCCCAGGCGGAGCGACGCGGGACGCCACTGAGCCTAAGAACGCGTCTGCGCATGCGTTGTGCGCAGGTGGGAGAAGGCCCTGCAGACCCCCCGAGGGCAGGAGTTCCCTACCAGGCAGGTGGGCGGGCACTGTCCTACAGCTCAGAAATAACCCGGTGAGACCAACCACAGAGCGTTTCCTGGCCAGATAATGTCAGAGCTTTGTCTTGCCAAAATACAAGCCCAAATTTGCATCTTGTTTTTTCTTTCCAGCACTGAGGGTCAAACTCGAACCCAGGGCCTTAGCAGTGAGTCCATTCCCAGTCCTTTTGTATTTTTTATTTAAGACAAGGTCTCGCGGAGTTGCTAAGTTACCCAGGCAGGGCTTGAACCTGAAATCCTCCTACTTCAGCCTCTTAGCTACGAGGACAGGTGCTCGCCGCTATGCCTGGCAACCTGTCACCACCTGACAGCACTCGGCCCTCGGCGGGGCTTGGGTCCCTGACATGGACCCGAAGGGCACTACTGCATTTCCACAGTTGTCCATCAAAGCGGGATTTTCAAAGTCAACATCAGCCCTGTTTCTACTGTACTGTCCCTCAGAGAGGACTGTCAAAGCAGAGGACGGAGATTACTTCACCCTTCCAGCCACCTCCCTGTGGCAGATGAAGTGTGAGAGGCTCAGGCAGGGCAGGCCCTTCAGGAACGGAGTTAGAATGGGTGATGAAGGCTGGGTGCAGTGATCCACGATTGTCATTTAGCTACTTAGGAGGCTGAGGCAGGAGGATCTCAAGTTCAAGCACAGCCTGGACAATTTAGAAAGACCCTGTCTCAAAATAAAAGTTAAAAAGGGGTGTAGCTTGTGGTAAGTGCTCACCTACCACGAGGGAAGCCCTGGGTTCCATCTCCAGTACTGGAAAAACAAAAAGAAGAAGAAAAAGGAGAAAGAAATGGGACCATGCTTGGTGGAACCCCATGTGGGTAAGGACAGCAGGCAAGACGTGCCTGTAGCCAAACCCTTCCACCCAGAAATAACCGGGTGGCAGCGCCTTGGTGCAGAGCCTTCCGCGATGTACTCCACAGGCTCTTTTCCTAATTTGCAAGCATGTGTGTATTTATTCTGCTGCCTAGGTAATAACCTGTCTTGTAAGGTTCGAGATTCCAGGATATTCTAGAGTATACAGTAGGATGACCGCCTTCCACCCTGTCCGTGTCTCTGCCTCCCTACAACAGAGCCATGGTGTAGATTTCCTGTCTGTGTTCATTTCAGGCCTGGTGGGAGGGGTTTAGGGGGCACACGCAAGAAGAGTGGGTCGTGGCTGCCTCTTGTTGAGGATTCCAAGAGCGCTGCAGGGGTTCAGCGTGAGACCCCGTAGGCAGATATTCGGGCACAGTAGTCCCGGATGTGTAAGCCTGTGAGTCATGCTGGCTCCTGAGGCTTAGAGCCACTAAGTTCCTTAACAGTTTTGTAAAAAGTAATGTAGTGATGTTGTTCGGGCAGTTTAGATTCGGAGGTCCAATTCAGAAATGCCAGGATTTCCTTTTACAGCGGCTTCCTCCCTCAACTAAAGGTTTCATCCTCAGAGGGGATTTCATAAGAAACTGTCTTATTTTTAGAAAAAGGAAGAAGGCTTATTGATGTCTTTCAGTTTGAGCTTTTTGTTTTATTTTTTGCAGCACTGAGGGTAGAACCTCAGGGCCTTTGCACTGAGCTAGATCCCCATCCCTTTTTTTATTTTGAGACATGGTCTTGCTAAGTCTCAGAGTTGTCCAGGCTGAGTGGGCAGAGGGTGGGGAGAGCCGGGCTCTGTCTCCCATGGGTTCCCCCCAGCTGACCTGCAGCCTTTGGGAGGGGGCTGCGCCCGGCAGGTGACACGGGCTTCCGCTCTGTGAGGCAGACCTACCAGGAGCACCTGGAAGGGCAGAAGCACCGGAAGAAGGAGGCGGCTCAGAGGCCCGAGGGCAACTCGCTGTACTGCGACCTGTGCACCGTGTCCTGCACCGGGGCGGACGCCTACGACGCACACATCCGGGGAGCCCGGCACCAGAAGGTTCGACCCCCAGCCCAACCCAGCCCGCGGGGTGCACTGCCAGCTCCCCAGGGCGGCCCTGACCTAGGCCGCGTCCGTTCCAGGCGTTCAAGCTGCACACCAGGCTGGGGAAGCCGATTCCCACCATCCAGCCCGCACCCAGGAGCGGCCCCCACGCCCCGCACTGCACCACCCGCGAGGACTCGGGGGCCTCTGGCGTGCGCACCCCCGACGGGCCCGCTCCGGCCCGCAGACGGCTGGCCTCCACCGTGCGGATCGTGGGTGCGTGCGGGCCTGCGGGGCGCGGCCTGTGCGGCTGCGTGCACATGGCTGTGCGTGGCCGTGAAGGTCTGCTTGGGTGTTGATCAGTGAATTTGCAAGCCTTTCTGAGTTCGATTCCCGGTTCCAAAAAAAAAGGAAGTGAGCCCGCTTGGGAGAGAGGCCTGGCGGGAACCCAGGAGCTGCTCCACCCCACCGTGTGCTGGGGCGATGAGTTCAGGTGGGGGCAGCCTGCTCGTCTCCAGGTGCCCATGCCCAGGGTGAAACGCCCGGCGTGCTGCTAAGAGCTCTGTGTGCACTGCCCGACGTAACCTGCGCCGCGATTCCCTTGCGTGATCTCGGCCCCAGACACGATGTGCAGGTGGAAAAGCAGGGCGAGGGGGTCGCAAGGGCCTGGCCCAGGCTGCTAGGCCGGTGGTGGAGGTGGCATTCTGAGCCAGCGCTGACCCTGCATCCGTCTTTTCCGTGTTCTGGTGGCTGGGGAGAGGCTCATTTTATCTTTGGCCTCAGCAGCATGACGTATTGAATAGTAACATGATTTTTATCTTTTTTTTTGGTCGTTTTGAGACAGGGTCCTGTTATGCAGTTCAGGCTGGCCTTAAACTCACTTTGTAGCCCCAGGCTGGTCTCGAACTCACAGCAATCCTCCTACCTCAGCCTCCCCGAGTGCTGAGATTACAGGTGTGCACCACCACACCTGGATATTATTATTTTTTGAGACAAGGTCTCACTATATATTCCAAGCTGGCCTCGAATTCACAGTGATCCTCCTGCCTCAGCCTCCTGAGTGTTGGATTACAGGTGTGTGCCACCACATGTGGCTATGTAACACTTTTTTAAATTTTAATTGTTTGCTGTGCCAGGGTTGAACCCAGGGCCACACAGCTGCTAGGCGAGCACTCATCACTGAGCCACACCCAGCCCGCAACATAAATTTGAAGATAAGATCGAGGAATTCTGATGATAGATTTCTACCCGCCTTGGTGCCACAAATTTGCCCCGTTATCGCTCAAATACAATCCTCGGTCCACCCACTGTTTGACAGTGGATTGACAAAGGACTATAGATTTTGTACAATTCCTGGGTCCCTCAAATAAGGGACCCAAAGCCAGGCCTTCTCCATCAGGACTTCAAATCTGTTTCTTTGGTTTCCCAGATGTGAAACAGGCTGGGAGGAAAATCTGGTTCAAAGTCAGACAGAAACAGAGACAAAGCTCTGATAAACGTGGGTTTTTAGAAATGAGCAAGTAGCACTGGCGCTGGGCTGCGCATCTGAGGGGTCATGGCCTCCGTGTGTCCAGAGAGCAAAACAGAGGTCAAGGGTCTCATTCAGACCAAGAAAGCTTTTCAAGTTATTTTGAAAGGAAGAGCCAAGCACGGTGGGGCATGCCTGTCATCCCAGCTACTTTGGAGGCTGAGGCGGGAGGATCACAAGTTTCAGCCTAGCCTGGGCAACTTAGCAAGACCCTGTCTAAAAACTACAAAAAGGCTGGGGATGTAGCTTAGTGAAGGCCCTCTGGTCTTCCCAGCCAGCCCTGGTCAGCGAGGGCGGCAGCGCCACTGTGATGCAGGTCTGTGGCCAGTGACAAAGGCCAGGGAGGCTGTCCTCTTGCCTGAGGCCTTCAGGACAGCGTGTCACACAAGCCCTGGCTATCCCCGCATGAGAATCCCTGTTAACAGGCAGATCCTGCAACAGAGCCCTCCCTTCCCGCCCTCCCCTGTGGGTTAGCACTGGACAGGAGGGGCTCCACCTGGAATCTGACAGCTTCACTGAAGAGTGAGACCAGCTGCCGTGGCCACCCCAGGGCAGCAAGGGACAAGGACAGACCGAGGCCTGTGCAGCCCTCACTCCAGCGCGGCCTGGTGGGTTTGTGGCCGGCCAAGGCTTCTGGCCAGCACAGTAACACAGTGCTCCCCCCTCAGGGCCTCTAGAGCCACTGACGGCGCGCAGCAGACCCCGCGAGGGGACGCCAGCACAGTCCCCGTCGGACACGGCCACCTGGAGGGGCTCTGGGGAAGCCGCCCCTGGGGGCTGGGTCGCGGAGCCCGTGGGGCCGGAGTTCGTGGAGGAGGTAGGTGGAGGCTGTCCACGCTGCCAGCCGGGGGTGCGGAGAGCCAGGCCTCACACACGCGAGGCAAGTGTCCACGCTGAGCTGTGCACTCAGCCCTTTATATTTGTTATTTTGAAACAATGGCCCAGGAGGAACTGGAATTTGCGATCCTCCTGCCTCAGCCTCCCCCGTAGCTGGGGTGTCAGGCAAGCGCAACAGGGCCCAGCTAAGGGTTTCTCTAATTCCACAGCGGCTTCCTAGTTTCCTGCCGCCCCCTCCCCCAGCCCCACCCCTGCAAGGCCCCAGCCATAAGGGGAATGTCACCTACATAGATGTGCAAAACCATCACACCAAGCTGGGCATGGTGGCGTGCACCTGTCATCGCAGCAGTCTAGGAGGCTGAGGCAAGAGGATCTCAAATTTTAGCCAGTCTGGGCAATTTAGGGGAGACCGTGTCACAAAATGAAAAGGAAGGGCTGCGGAGGTACCTCGGCGTCAGGAGTGCTGGCGGCACAAACGCCCCTGGCTGGGACCGTGCCACAGAAGCCCCGTCCCTTAGGGAAGCGGATGGGCCACTGTGCTCTGTGTGGCAGGTGTGCAGCGACCAAGGGAAGGTGATCCGCTACCGCTGCAAGCTCTGTGAGTGCAACTTCAACGACCGCAACGCCCAGGACCTGCACTTGCGGGGGCGGCGGCACCGGCTGCAGTACCAGGTGCGTCCGGCAGGGGGAGCCCGGGCCACCACCACCACCACCACCACCACCCCCCACGCGGTTGGCTTAACTTGGGGCCCTGGGTGCGGAAGGGCGCGGGCTCTGTTTCCACATTTTGGTCCATGGCTCCTAGCGCCTCTTTTGCCTCCTTGGAACTGAAAGCTCGATGGTAGCTCCAGGTCCCGGGTGTCCCGCTTGTCGTCTTCGGGCCCTGGGTACGCTGAGGTCTACGGCAGCCTCTCGGCCCCTCCTCTGCAGTGGACCCGCCCACCCCACGCCTCGCTCGTCTACGCCGCGGTCCCTTCCCCGGGCGCTGCCCGCCCGCAGTCTCGCCCGTGGCTCAGGGTGGGCGCCAGGCCCTCCTCGGCTCTCGGCTGCGAGTGGTCCGAGTGGTCCCTCCCGGGCTCCTCCTGGACGAACCCAGCCCCCGGCGTGGAGGACTCGGAGCCAGAGGAGCGCAGGAGGGAGGAAGGGACGGATGGACGGGTGGATGGACGGAAGGATAAGTGGGATGAGAAGTTTCAAGTCTTTGAGGGGTGCAAGCCGCAAAGGGCAAGGTGTCTCCTGGCTGGGCTGCTCGCTGCACTGGTGACCCCACTTTGCCCCCCAGAGGAAAGTGGACCCGACCCTGCCCCTTGTCACGGAGCCCGGCCGGCTGCAGCGGCTGCAGGAACAGCAGACACGCAAGCATCGGCAGCTGATGCAGCAGCGGCTGGAGGAGACGCGGCAGCGCTGGCGGGCAGGGCTGAGGTGCCACCGCCCTGCGTGCCCCCAGGGGACAGGCCGCCTCCCAGGGGTGGGCTTGCCTCCACTGCTTCCCCACAGGGACGTCCCCGCGGCGCCCCGCAGCTCCATCCATCGCTGTGCACCCCGTGCTGGGCGTGGGTTACAGTGGGAGGCAGCGCTCAGCAGTGTCACCCCGTGCCTGAGGGGCAGCAGACTACGGGGAGGGGCCTGCCCCTGAGCAGGCGCCTGGGTCTTACGTCCCCAACCTCTCTTGTCCCCTGACCTCGGATCCTGTCTCCCCCGCTGAGGGACACGTTTTGTCATCTCCTCCTGCACCCTGCAAAATGCCAGAGCATTTTCCTGCCCAGTACCTGATTTACAAAGTGTCCGGCGGCAGCAAAGTGGGATGGGCGGGGAGCCGGGAACGGTCCCCAGGGCGGTGGCCGCTCAGCCTCAGTCTCCGGGTGGCCTCACAGCCCGTGTGGTCCGGTCCCCAGCCACCAGGAGGCACCCTGCAAGAACCAGAAGAAGGAGCCGCAGCCCCAGAGCAAGGAGCAGCCGCTGCCGTGCCCCGCCTGGGCCCTTCCGCCCCCCGCGGACAGGCCGGGGGTGCCCGCGGCCAGGGCCCAGGTAGGTGCTGCCTCCCCGCGTCTCAGCCTTCCGAAGCCCCGTACTGTCAAATCACGGGGAGCTCACCTCACACCCGTCTGTCCCCGCACCGAGGTGGCCCTGAGTCCTCTGTCCCCGCGGCTGAGCCCAGGCTAAAGCAGAGCCTCCGCCCTGGAAACAAGGCAGGACTGCCGCGAGCACCTCCCTGGCGCGGCTCCTGACCAGAAGGCCCCGGTCCCCGGCCCCCTGCAGCCCGCAAGGCCCTCACCGTGCCCCTCGGTCCCTCACCCCCACTGGATGAGGGCCTCCTCCCCCCGCAGGCCAAGCGGCGGCCCGAGACCAGCGATGACCGTCATGTCATGTTCAAGCACGCAGCCATCTACCCCACAGAGGAGGAGCTGCAGGCCATCCAGAAGGCGGTGTCGCACGCGGAGCGGGCCCTCAGGCTGGTGTCCGACCTGATGGCCGAGGAGGACTCGGAGAGCCTGGGAGACGAGGGCGGCCAGTGCAGGTAATGGAGTCACCCCTGTCCCCAAAGCTCTGCACCCCTGGGCAGAGGGCCCCGCGGGGAACAGAAGCGGCTGCTGCGCCCTCAGAGGCAAGGGCAGAGGCTACAGGCTCAGCCCTGGGAGGAGAAAGTCCCCAGCCGGGAGCGGTTGCGCACAGCTGTCATCCCAGCATTTGAGAGACCGAGGCAGGAGAATTTCAAGACTGAGGCCAGCCTGGGAGACTTAGCAAATCTGTGTCTCAAAATTTTAAAAAAGGAGGCGGGCATAGTAGCACATGTCCGTAATCCCAGTACTCGGGAGGCTGAGGCAGGAGGATTGCTGTGAGTTTGAGGACAGCCTGGCCTACATAGGGAGTTCAAGGCCAGCTTGAATTACATATCGAGACCTGTCTCAAAGAACACAAAACAAAACAAGCAAAAAAAACTTTTAAAAAGGAATGTAAAGAGCGGGGAGTGTTGCTGAGTGCCAGGCCCTTGCCCAGCGTGTGGGGGGCCCAGGTTCCATACCCAGCCCCCCCAAAAAATGAGAAACGCAGTTCACAAAGGATGAACCAACTCCACGAAGCCGGCTTCCTCGGAAGCTCCAGGAAGCTAAGTAGGATTCTGAGCTGACTTTTCCGCGCCGCAGGATGGTGGTTGGGTAATTGAGCGGAATGCACCGAGGTCAGAGTGAATCTTCACGCTGAGGAGCCGTAACTAGTTGTCATATGATTTGATTGTCCCAGAAGGAGCCGGCTTTACAAGTCCTTCCTCACTAGCGCCCTTTCCATTTTCGGTTTATTTCCTCCCGCCAAGTGCCCGTGACCAAGGGTCTTGGTCCCATTTTACAAAAAAGGAATCCGAGCACTGGGAGGCTGAGGCAGAGCATCTCAAGTTCAAGCCCAGCCTGGGACACTTGGCAGGACCCCGTCTCAAAATTAAAAGGGGGTGGTGGTGCAGGGCTGCAGCGCAGGACCTTCACAGGGCTCAGTCCCCACTAGCACCACCAAAAGACGGAAGAAAGAAAGAAAAGGAAACTGAGGCACGGGGGGCTCAGGTGTTGCCGGAGTCCCCGTGCACCCGAGGGTCCCGTTCCCTTCGCTGAGGCCAGTGTCTCGCTCTGCGCTTGCAGCGTGGCATCCTCGCCGCGGATCCTGAAGGGCGTCATGCGGGTCGGCATCCTGGCCAAGGGCCTGGTCCTGCGGGGCGAAAGGAACGTGCGGCTGACCCTGCTTTGCTCCCAGAAGCCCACGCGCGCCCTGCTGCACAGAATCGCGGCGCGGCTGCCCCAGCAGCTCCTGGTAAGGCCGCGTGTGCGCCTGCGCATCTCCGGATCACCGCGTTAGGAACCCAGCTAGAGGTCGCTGTGTGCGTGTGCGGTGCTGGGGATGGAGCCCGGGGCCTGGCACGTACATAGCAAGCGCTCACCCCTGAGCCACGCTCCTAGCCCTTTTTATTTTATTTTGAGACAGGATCTCTTTAAGCCGCCCATGGTAGGCTCCCACTTGCCATCCTCCTGCCTCAGCCTCACAAAGGGCTGGGATGACAGGCATAAGCCACCATGCCTAGCCAGAGTTCATATTTATAAACTGCTACAAAGAACACTGGAAACGTCAGGGACTCCTGACGTAGGGCAGTCAGGCTACAACTGAGAAACAGTCCAGATATCCCTTACGGGGACAGTAACGTAGGGGACAGCATGTCACACTCACCCTTCAGAACCACAGCCACCCTTACAGAGGTTAAACCATGATGAGAAGTGTCCAGAAGCTGGGCGTGGTGGCGCACGCCTGCAATCCCTGAACAGAGAGGCTGAGGCCAGAGGATCGCTGCATGTTCGAGGCCAGCCTGGGCTGCGTAATGAGTTCAAGGTCAACCTGGACTACATAGCGAGACCCGGTCTCAGAGAGAACCTTTTTTATTGAAGCTGAGAGTGGTGGTGCATATCTGTAGTTGTAGCACTCTGGGAGGCTGAGGCAGGAATATCATGAGTTCCCAACTTAGTGATTTAGTGAGATGATCCTGTCTCAAATTAAAAAAATAAAAAGGGCTGGGGATAGAGCTCAGTGCAAAGGTCCTGGGTTCAGTGCCCACTACTGCAAAAAAAGAACAAACAAACCTGGCACAGACTCTTTGCCCCGATGTGCCCCATGCCCTGGGGATCCCGCCATCGCACCCCGACCTGTCCAGAGAGTGGCAGGCACTGAGTGGGCCTGGGCAGACCCCAGGTAGAGAGGCGTCAGCAAGCTCACTTCTGGTTTACCCCTGAGAGGTTAACGGGCTTAGGGGGCAGCTGGGGGAGCCCGGGCTACTTCAGACAGGTGTGGGGAGGCAAGGGTCCCCCCAACAGATGACAGGTCACCAGGAGATGCTTGAGCAGGGACAGCATTGCTCGTAAAAGGGCCGCCACTTGCAGGGGCCGCATTCAGGGCAGGAGATCTGGGCAGGACGCAGCGAGGCCTGGATCAAGCTGGACCTGAGAGCCATGGGAGGAGGTGGGATTCAGGTAAATGGGGAGACTGCAGAGTGCAAAGCAGGAGAGCCATGTGCTGTGACCTCTGGGCTTCAATCTCACTTCCCTGGAGCACCTGCCAGGTCCTGTGGGGGTGGCAAAGGCAGCCAAGATGTGGGTGCTGCTTTCTAAAAGCTGACAGCCCAACAGCATAAGGAAGGAAGCCCGGGACCCCATGACGTGGCTGTGGCTGTGGGGTCACCCGAGCTGCACCACCCAGGCTACAGAGACCCGCTGGGCCGCCTCCCCAGGTGGATTTCTGGGGGAGGCGGGGCTTGCCACTCGCTGCTTCTATGATTTCTGGGGGTCCTTTACTCCTCCTGCTTGTGAACGTAGGCAGCGTGGACAGTGTGACCACAGAGGGGAGGCTGAGCTGCCACGCAGGCCTCGTGACCTTTGTGCTTCCCACAGGTGACAGTGGCATCTGGTCATAGCATTGTTTCATTTTTCTTTGTTGTGTTTGCTAGGGATTGAACCCAGGGCCTTCACTCTGAGCTCCATCCCCAGCCCTTCTTTTTTATTTTGAGGCAGGTCTTGTAAGTGGCTAAGTTACCCAGGCTGGGCTTGAACTTGCCATCCTCCTGCCTCAGCCTCCCATAATGTGATGGTGTGTGTAACCATACTCCCAGGATGGTGTGTGTAACCATGCCCACCTCCATAATAGTTTTTGGTTGTTTGTTCATTCTTTTTTTTTTTTTTTTAGACAGGGTCTCACTCTGTAGTTCAGGCTGGCCTTGAACTCACAGCAGTCCTCCTGCCTCAGCCTCCCAAGTGCTGGGATTATGGGCATATGCCATCACACCTGGCACTCTGTGGTAGCTTTGCTTTGTTTTCTGTGACCATGGGGATAATTCTTGTCACTATGGTGAAAGGGTTGTGTTTCTTTTTGTTATTTCACTTCCCTGTTCCCCACCCCCATGCCCACTGGATTGCATGTCTTGCTTCTATGATTTCTGGGGGTCCTTTACATAGTGAGGACTCTTAAGGCACACGTCTACATGCATGCAGCCCTGTGGCCACGACGGTTTCCAGCACAGGGCTGTACCAGGAGTGAGCATGTGTGACCAACAGGGCCCTGCATGCGCCCCCACTGCCTTCCCCGGCCCGTGAGCCCCGCCTCATGTTGCATCTGCCCCTCCCAGTTGGTGACCGACGACAAGTACGACGTCTCTGCTGACCCCGAAGCCAGCATTGTCATCTCCTCTTGCGAAGAGCCCAGGATGCAGGTCACCGTGTCCATCACCTCACCTCTGATGCGGCAGGACCCCTCTGCGGACCAAGGTGTGGCTAGGCCCTTCTGTCCCACACTTCCAGGATGCCACCCGCACCCGCTGCAGGCCTCAGCAACAGCCTTTTGGCTCCTCTCTCACCCCCACGCTGCTGGGTGCACAAGAGCTAAGTCTTCGGAGCTGAGATTCCAGTGCCTAGGAGGCTGAGGCAGGAGAGTTGTGAGTTTAAGGCCAGCCTTGCCAGGTGTGGTGGCACACTCCTGTAATCCCAGCACTCGGGAGGCTGAGGCAGGAGGATCGTTGTGAGTTTGAGACCAGCCTGGGCTAAAAAGTGAGCTCAAGGCCAGCCTGAACTGCATTGTGAGACCCTGTCTTAAAAAGACAAAAAAAAGGCTGTCCTGGGCTACTTAGACCCTGTCTTCAGAAAATCAAGTAAAGAAAGAAAAGAAAGACACCCACCCCGGTCTGGATAGGATAGTTGTGATTTTCACTGATGCAAATACATTTTTTTTTTTTTGGTGGTGATGGTGATTGAACCCAGAAGCTCTACCACTGAGCCACGTCCTCAGCCCTCTGTAGATGAATTCAGAGATGTTCATAATCTGTCATGACATTCCCTTCAGACTTCCACTGGCTTTTCTGTGTGTTTTGTTTTGTTTTTTGAGACATGGTCTTGCTGTGTAGTTCAGACTGACCTTGAGCTCACTGCTATGTAGCACAGGCTGGTGTCGAACTTGCCGTGATCCTCCTGCCTCAGCCTCCCGAGTGCTGGGATGGCGGCCATGCACCACCACACCTGGCTTCAAGAGATGTGGTCAAGTGGAAAAAAATTACTTCTTTTTTAAATTATTATCTAGTTAGAACTGAAAAAAAAAAGTATAAAACACAAATTAAACTTGAAATTTACAAATAGCTTCTAACGTTAATTCCATAAATCCTTTACCAGGCTGTTTTCACAATGTAAATATAAACAGTAAGTAGGTAAGATTGTTCCTATTTGGGAAAATAACTCAGAATAAAGCAGACATGAGATGCTGGGGGAAAGAAAAGAGCTGGTGTGGGGCAGCAGAGGAAATGAGTCAGAGGCAGCGGCTGAGCTGCGAGGCCCCTCCGCACGTGCCTGCCCCGCGCTGGGCCCTGCGGCCCCTGACCTCAGGTGGAAGCAGGCAGCAGTGGTGGGAACTGGCAGATAGGAGCAGCATCCTGTCGTCCCCAGGGCCACGTGTCACACACACGGGCAGGGAGGGGGGCCTTGAAGGCAGAGGTGCCACTCCTGCGAGAGTGGAGTGGCCGCCTTGACTGTACACCCTGGACTCAGCTCCAGAACCCTCTAGAACAGTCTCCAGGCTGGTTTTCCAGACCACAGCCATCTTTGAACTCTCTGTGGGATGTTTATTTTTAATTTCAGGAGGAAGTACAGCTGAGGGCCACAAAGGACTGTTTCAATTGATTTTCTTTTTTTTTTTTTTTTTTTCTTTTGTCTTTTTGAGACAGGTCTCGCTGTGCAGTTCAGGCTGGCCTTGAGCTCACTTTTTAGCCCAGGCTGGTCTCAAACTCGCAACGATCCTCCTGTCTCAGCCTCCTGAGTGCTGGGATTACAGGTGTGCGCCACCACACCCGGCTCAATTGATTTGCTTTTAAAACTGAAAATGATTGGAAGTGGAAAGCTGTTATTGGGTGTCATCTAAAAAATAAACACAGTGGGGAGCCAGATGTGAGGTTACATGACTGTCATCCCAGTCACATAAGAGGCTGAAGCAGGCGGATGCCAAGTTCAAGGCCACCCTGGCCAACTTAGCAACGTAGCAAACCTCCATCTCAAAAAACAAACAAACAAACAAACAAACAAAACTAAAAAGGCCTGGGCTGTGGATCACTGTGAAGGCCCTGGGTTCCATCCCCAGGGCTGTAAAATAAATACATGAATTCCACATGTGCTGCCTGGACAGACTAAGAGGCCCCAAATCCTTCTGGAATGCCCAACATTTTCTCCAACCCCTACCCTGTGGGAGCTGGCCTGCCAAGAAAGCACCCTTCCTGAGGCTACTGCCTTCGTGTCCCGTCCCAGCCTGGTAGGGGGACCAGCTCCTAAAACCCCCTGCCCCCACGCACACCCACCAGTGCCACCTCCAAAGGAGGAACTTGCCCGTGCCCAACAGACAGAGGGCAGTGTGGGCAGTCTCGGGCCCGGAGGCAAGCTGCCCCACCCTGTGACCCAACAAAACCAAAAGCTTGTATTTCTCCTCCCCGCCCCCCTCGTCTCTCTGTCTCTTTTTCAGTACTGGGAATGGAACCCAGGGCCTTCCCACTGAGCTCTGTCCCCAGCATTTTATTTTGAGACACAGTCTCCCTAAGTTCCCCAGCCCGGGCTCCAAGTTGAGACCTTCCTGCCTCCGCCTCCAGAACAGCTGGGATGAGGGGCCTGGGCCACCACACTGGGCCCACGTCTCAGATACACTGGGAGTTTCTGGAATCCAGGTCTGACCTTCAAGTGAACCTGCTCCCTGTGAGGGGCAGAGCTGAGCGGAGAGCTGGCGCCCAGGCAGCGCAGCCCTTCAGGGAGGGAGGGCTTTGTGGTAGTGGTTCGCGAATCCACAGTAAACAAAACAAGGCCCACGCCACCCCCTGAGGCAGCGGGAGCACAGCGGGGACTGTCATGCCCCACGGCCCTGGGCTCACCGGGCTGCTCCTTGCAGAGGGAAAGGAGGACGCGCAGCCCGACCCAGACGTCCTGAGCCCCGAGAAGTGCCTGGAGTCCCTGGCTGACCTCCGCCATGCAAAGTGGTTCCAGGTCAGGGGTGTGCGGGTGGGGATGGGGGGAGTGGGCCATGTCACTGAACAGGGCCACCGTGCGTGGCTGCTGGTCTCCTAAAGGTGGATGTTGCTGGGTGAGGTGGCGCACGCCTGTCATCTCTGCACTCTGGGAGGCTGAGGCAGGAGGATCCCAAGTTGGAGCCCAGCCTAGGCAATTTAGCAAGACTCCATCTCATAGTGAAAAATAAACACCCACACAGCTGAGGCCCCCAGGAGCTAACCCTGTGCTTCTCCCCCAAAGGCGAGAGCCAGCAACCTGCAGCCCTGCGCCATCGTCATCAGGGTCCTGCGGGACCTCCGCCAACGAGTGCCCACGTGGGGGGCCCTGCCAGCCTGGGTAAGGCAGTGCAAGGCACTTGGGGTCCCCCAGACACTCCCGGGAGGCTCTGCCACGCTGAGGAGCCAGATTTCATCGCTCCAAGCAAAAGCATCTCTTAGCTGGGCACAGCGGTGCAGGCCTGTCATCCCAGCACTCTAGGAGGCTGAGGCAGGAGGATCATAAGTTCAAGCTCAGTCTGGGCAACTTAGCGACGTAGGGAGACCCTGTCTCAAAATAAAAAAGAGAGAGAGAGGGCTTTGGATGGAGCTCAGTGTGAAGGCCCTGGGTTCCAGCCTCAGGACTGCAACAAAACAAACAAAACAACCATACCTGTTCCAGTTGCTCAGTACTCAAGGAAGGGAGCACGTGAGCTTCAGCAGAGACAGGTGGATGAGGGAGGGGGGCCACTGAGTGCCCTGGGTGGGGACCGCGTTGGCCACAGCCTCGTTTGACTGTCACTATCCTCAACCCCAACTGTGGGGAGGCAGAGGCCATGCGAATGTAGCGCTGGCGGGCTGCCATCGCCTCTGCCTGGCGTCAGTGTGGGCAGCTGGGCCTGACCCTGACTCCAGGCCCCCCAGCCCTAATGTCCCCCCACAGAGCCCATCCCAGGGGAAAGAGGGGACGAGAGGCCCTGCCCCCTTCAGCGAGGCCCCGGGTCCCCCGACTGCCACCCCGCCCCACCCACAGCACCCAGAGACGGCCCAGTGCCCAGGAGCTGCCCGCGCACCCCCCACACACACATACACACACACACACACACACACACACGTCCTCACCCTGCCCTCAGGGCCCGGGTGACAGGGACCTGCGGGGTTGGGGTGGCGTCTTAGAGGAAGGCACTCATAGCGCGTAGGTGTGACCCTAGCTGAATGTCCCGGGACAGGGTGACACCCAGGCACCCAACATGGTGGGAAAAGCAGGGGACAGAGGTGGGGAACTGCCCATCTTCCAGGAAGGGCAGGGGGCAGCCCAAGGGGCCTGTGGCCCAGGGTCCCCCACGGTCTCACTAGCTGGAGCTGCTTTGGGTGGGCGGGGGCTGGCTGGTGTCGCCGAGGGCACGGGTCCGCTCTCCTGTCCCCGTGTCCCCCAGGCCATGGAGCTGCTGGTGGAGAAGGCGCTGAGCAGCGCATCCCGGCCCCTGAGCCCGGGGGACGCCGTGCGGCGGGTCCTAGAGTGCGTGGCCACGGGCGCGCTCCTGGCAGGTCAGTCCGAGGGTGCCGGCCGTGCGCATGCGCGCTTCTCCACAGGCGGGCGGGTGATCGCAGGGGGCCGGGGCCAGAGAGCGGCACAGCCGCCCCAGGGCACAGAGAACTGCCTACAGGCGCGGGAAGGGGTCCACCCTTGGGACTGTCCATATCACGAGGCCGAGGCCAGATGATACCATTCAAATTTATTTGAATGAATATGTTATTTATTCAAAAGAAATCCGCAGAGATCAGATAGCTTGTCTAGCTCTGGGTTTCTAATCTGGGGAGGTGGCGCCGTCGTGGCATACTGCCCAGGGGGGTTGGGAACAGGACGCTGGAAAGGGCAATTCCAGGGATGACGCCAGTGGGAGAAGAGGATGACACGTCTGTCATCCCAGCACCCTGGGCGGCTGAGGCAGGAGGATCACAAGTTCAAGCCCAGTGTGGGCCACATAGCCACTTAGTGAGACCCCGTCCCGGTATAAAAAGGGCTGGGGATGGAGCTCAGTGAGAAAGCCCTCGGCTTCCCGCCCGGGCCCACATACCCTAAGAGGGGAAAGCCCTGCGCCCATGGCGTGTTTGCCTGACACACTCGTGCCCAGCACATGCACAGGTGTGAGCCGCGTGTGCCTGGCAGGGCCTGTGGGGCAGGGGCTGTGGGAACAGACTCGGATCCCTGCGGTCCCTCGCTGCGGCACAGCAGCCTGTGTCACCGGCAGAGCCTCATGAGGGTGACCTTGTTTCTCTGCCGTCCTGGCCTCCCCCTCACAAAGACGGGCCCGGGATCCAGGATCCCTGCGAGAAGGACCGGATGGACGCGCTCCACTCCATGACCTTGCAGGAGCGGGAGGATGTGACGGCCAGTGCCCAGGTAGGGCTGGCCAGCCGCCCTGCAGACTCCGGCAGAGGCGGGCAGCTGGGGACACCAGGACTGCTCAGGGGACACAGCCAGTGAGAGGGGAGCTGGCAGCTCAGAACTGTGGCTGCCACAGGGACTCGGCCCAGACTTCGGGTCCTGCCAGCCATGCCTGTGCTGCCCGCCCACCAGCACAATCCGTAAACACCCAGCCCTTGCCAGTTTCCTCATGTGGAAAGCTTTTGTAAGTGGGAGCAGCACTCTGGGGAGGCTGAGGCAGGAGGATCCTGAGTTTGAGCCCAGCTCGGGCTCAAACCTGCCTCAAAAAATTAAATAAATAAATAAATAAAGGGTTGGTGGCCCCAGTGTGAAGGCCCTCAGTTCAATCTCCAGGACTGCAAAAAACAAAAAACAAAACCTGCACAGGGTCCCACCTTCATGGGAGAAGCTGAAACCATGGCAGGCAGGATCTGGGGCCCCTGCAGTGAGGCGGGAAGAGCCAGGGTTTCGGGGGCTCCCAGGAGAGCCCCTGTGATCCTCCACGATCCGCCCCTACCCTGGCCTCGGCTGGAGCTCAGCAGTTCAAGAAAGCACAGGACAGCTACAGACACAGGCCCTGTGTCCTCAGGGTCCTATCCGTAGGGACCCGGGAAGCAGCACCCGGCACAGCATCCTGACACGGCCCTGTCACCCACAGCACGCCCTGCGCATGGTGGCCTTCCGGCAGATCCACAAGGTCCTCGGCATGAACCCCCTGCCACCTCGGCCCCGCTTCCGGAAGAGGCCTCGAGAGACCAAGGCGGAGGAGGGCTCAAGGGGCAGAAAGAGGGGCCGGCAGGGTGGAGAGGGGCTGGGGTGAAGCGCACCCTTGCCCGGTGGGGGGCTGACACCTGGGCGCACACACATGCAGACCAGTGCCGCTGGTCCCTGACATGAGACGGTCACTTTCCTTTCTCAGTCATGCTCTGTCCCTTTCTTTCCAAATCCCTGAGAAGTCACCCTGGGTAGCCCCAAGGGCAGCTCCCTCTCCTGAAGCCCGGTCCCCCAAGAGACTCAAACGCTGGTATTTCTTGATAGCTTTAAACACCCCTGCTGTGTGTGCATTTGAAATAAAGTAGGTGGCCCGGCTTGGGTCCCCTGTGTCAATGTCGGGGTGGCTGGCTCTGAAGGTTCCAGAAAGGACCCCTAGCCGGGGAAACAGCTCAACGGCACAAGCGCCTGCCTGCCAAGTGCAAGGTCCTGAGTTTGATCCCCGGTGCCAGAAAGGACCCCTAGGTATGCTGGGGGTGTGGAGCAGGCACTGTCCCCACGGCGTGGGCAGCGTCCACAGATCGTAGCCCCAGACCCGGCCTGCTGTGAACAGACCCCAGGTCAGCAGGGCCTGAGCTGGATTCACCCCCAGGACACCTGTGACCCCCAGTCCTATCCTGACCCTGGACACACTGCAGTCCCACCCTTAACCCCAATGCTTGTGTCTCCCCCCGGCAAGAGTGTTTCTGTCCAGTGGACACTGGGTGGCTGACCCCAAGATGCCCAGTCCCGCCCCGCCCCCTTTTGACGCCCGCATGCCTCAGGAGGGAGAGGACCATCCTGCATGGAGGACCCGGGGGCCCCTTGGACTGCGCCCACACAGCCTAGGGATACACAGCCGAGTCGCCTGCCAAGGGTGGAGACGCTTCAGCTTCCTGGAGGAGGCGGTGCCCAAACCGAGTTCTGGGAGATGGCTCCGCCCCCAGGGGCATCAGTAGTGCCCTTGACTCACCAACCCCAGAGGGTGGGAGCGGTTCAGACAGGGACACAGCCACAGGGGGTGTGGGTGGGACACAGCTTCCTGGCCTGGGGCTCCCAGGTGCACGTGGACAGCCCAAGCGGCAGTGCTTGGTGGGTGGAGACATAGGCACCTGTCGTGGGCACAGAGGGACAGGGCAGGGAGGCCGCCGGCACACTTCTCAGGCCCTCAGGTGAAGGGGTCACTCTTCCGGAGCTGGTGGCCCGGACAGCAAGCACAGGACACCAGTGACCGCTGAGACCTCCAAGAGAGGCTCTGCCCCAGGGAGGGGCTGCCCCTGCTGGCCCTGGCCTCAGGCAGTGGCCTGAGGATGGGTGCAGGAGACAGTCCCAGCCTCCTCCTCTCAGGCCCTCCTGCCGCCACATCCACCCAGTGGCCGGGGATCCCTCCGCCAGGGAGTCCTCCTGCGTTCCTTTGCCCTCTCCGCCAACCTGCCAGGAAACCCAACCCTGTCCACTTCTGATCTCTCCATTCTTGCAGCAAGGAACACCCCCCCAAAAAAAGATTAAAGCCCCCTCCGGTGCTGACCTGCCACCCTGTCCATTGCTCACTCCACCTCAGACCCACCACCTCTGCAGATTCAGAGGAACCAAACTGGGTCCTGCCCCAGGGCCTTGGCACGTGCCACCCCCACTGCCTGGTGAGCTCTTTCCTGATGCTCCCCTGCGCCTTTGCTGCAGGGCACTGGTCCAGTGTCGCCGGCTCAGAGAGGCTTCCCTCTCACACAACCCCATCCAGGCTTCAGAGCAGAAATGGCAAAAGTGTGCTGCGCTCCATGGGCAGGAGGAGCCGGCGCAGGCCGGGTGCAGGGAGCAGAGGAACAAACAGCTCCCTGTTGGGTGCCTGAAGCCATGCGGGCGACACCCAGCAGGGCTTCCTAGCAGTTAAGGCCACGCCATTTCTGTCCATCTCCGAGCTGGCAGTGACCCTAGCAGAAAAGGACAGGGCAAGGGCCTGGCGTGACCCCCGGCCCGGCAGGGTGACCCTCACACCGGCAGCTTCGCGGCAAGGCCCCGCCCGCCACAGGAGCCCCGGCAGGCACCCGCGGGGGCCCCCCTCGCCGCTCCCACCCCCGGCTCCCCAGGAAGGCACACTGTTACTGTTACCGCCACCGCCCGGTGGCTGGAAACCCGCCCTGCAGAGAAAGGGTTAAGCGGCCCCCTAGCAACTCCAAGGCGCCGAGCTCGGCGGCGCCACAGCAAAGCCCAGCAGTTGGTGAGCGAAGTTCGGTGCAGATGGACGCGCCGTCTGGGCGAGGGAACTCGCTCGAGGCCTAAATAGCAGTTGCTTTTAACCCCTCCTCCCCTCACCGCCACCGCAGCCCTGGGGGCAGCAGACAGGGCACCCCAGCGCGCAGGCCGGCGGGTGGCGGGACGGCGACAGCTCGACCCGAAGCCCAAGGCGCAGGGCTGCTCCCCGAGGCGCCCCCACCCCGGGAGCGCGAGGCAGCGCGAGGCAGCG